CCCTCGATCGACCGTTATCAGGTATCTGTTAGGTGCTGTTAAAAAAAAAATGTTTCGAAGTGCTTGTTGGGCAGTATTTGAATTTGTATATACTGTACCTATTTTATGTTTTTGTCCATTTGACATTCGTGCACCGTTAAAATCAGAAGTTATTCATTCGTTACTCAGTACTTGGATTTTTTTTATTTTTCAATGAAATTAATACTAGCTCAAGTCATTATTTGGATTAGGACTTTTTACTTTGACTTGTCACATTCTTGTAAATTAACTGTGCACTTATTTGCGTACAATTTGAATCATTGGTTACATGGAGAAACTTCATCTTTGTATCTACTTATGTGCAACATGGGCAAGGCATGCAGAACAAGCACTCACAGTTGGATTGTAAATTATTACCCGCACTCGGCTTCTCCCTTTTCAGTTCAACATAGACAAAAGCTTGGAGGCCAGTTTCTGGTGGGTCGTGGGGGGTTGGGGGTGGAGGCCACAGGGGCTGCTGTCCTTTGTTGTTGACTTCTTGTCTTTTTCAAAGCGTTCCCTCCCAGCCACCTGCCTGCCATGGTGACTCAAAACTCTAAAGGTCCCGCGCCACAGATTTAGAAATATCGTAATTGATTCTAAGCGGCTCTTAATGGATGGGTTTACAAAAAAATGTAACGGCAGCCAGGGCATACCGTCAAGTTCAAGGAATGAGGAACTGTTGGGTGGGACAGTGACAGGTCTACAGAAGTGGTGTATTGTTGCAAAGCACTCATCAAGGCAGAAAAGGTGAGGTGTTTGTCATGGAGGTGTAACGACCATTCTTGCTCTACCGCAGTTAGATTAGCCCTCTTTGCGACACGTAGACAGGTGACTTGAGCTAGGCCGTTGTATCGCTGTGGCCTCTCTCTCGCTTGGCCTTCCTTATCTTCGGTACTCTTGGCAAACCTACGAGTTGAATCCAGTTAAAGCCACGGAGTCACACATTGTCACGTGACTGATTAAAATAAAGTGTGTTTGCTCATGCACAGGTTTTCACTGCTCGCATTGGGTACACCCAGTGGAATGTAGGTGACATATATTGTTATATTGTTTCGAACAGTGGTTCTTAACCTGGGTTCGATCGAACCCCAGGGCTTCGGTGAATCAGTCACAGGGGTTTGACGGAGACTCTGCCAAGGAGGATAAGCCACAGCCGACTCAACGTGTCAATTAGTTATGACATGCCCGCTTGGCCCTCACTGGCTGCAGATGATCACATTACATTGCTTGTCCAATCAGTGCTACGGAAATTTAGTACGCTCAGTAGTCAGTGTGTGACTGTCGTGATAGTACGTTCTGTGATTTAAAAAAAAAAAAAATAACACATGCTTCTTCTTCTCCTTTCGGTCGGACAAATATGTACAACATGGATTCACATGCATCACGGAATGTGATGAGACTCAGCATCCTATCTGCATGATTCGGCATGCCAAGTTGAGCAACTCCAGTCTCGCACCAGCAAAATTGAAGGAACACTTCTGGAATCATATTTTTCACTAAAGGTTCAGTACCTCTAACACGGTTAAGAACCACTGGCTTAGAATGTCCTGCACCACACAAGTGATCCCTGAATGTAATGGCACAATTATAATGGTGATGGAGTGTACTTGACCACAGAAATTAAGTCTGAGGGGGGCAGGCCCTTTGCACACAACTTTTACCTTATGGGGGACCACACAGACAGATACGTTTTTTTCACCATGCAAAAACCTGGGGCCATTTACTATACAGTACAAACATGTATAGATGCACTTATTTTGAGATGAAAATGTGTGCCGTGAACATCAGCACCTTCCAATCCATTCCATTTCATCAATCCATCCTCTGTCCGGCTTTTGCTCACAAGTGTAGCGGGTGAGCTGGAGCGCATCCCAGCCGACTTTGGGCAAGAGGCATCGGGCACCAGCAGAGGCACTATTGATACAGTCCATTCGAAGTCTTGAAAAGAACATGATGGCAGATTTGTGAAGGTTACAACTCTCATGCATAGCTCCTCAGGGCTGCAACGTTACTGTCGGTCGGTACAAACTGGTGTTGTCGCAGGAGTTCATCAAGTTCAGAGAGGAATTCTCACATCCCATGCAAAATAGTATTTTAAAAATAAAGTGATTAATTGGTCTTTTTTTTCTCCATATTATATCAATTTTAAAATTAAAATTTGAATTTTAAATGCGCATACCTGGTAACGTACGTAAAGCTACGCCAGATTAACACAACAACCACAAAATCCATGACTTTTTGACATGTTTCCGTGAGTGTTTCAACTCCAAGTTTTTTGGGGGTGGAAGCTTGTTACATTGCAGCATGTCAAAGTAATTGCCACACTGTCAATTTTTGTAATTCGGTGTTGTGCCTGCTCCATTCCATTTGTGTCCGCTCAACCAAGGCATATTTAGTGACATCTGAAATGTGTATTTTCTGAGTGCTACATTTGGGAGAGGGCAAACCCGGACCGTGTCATAATAGTCAGGTGGGTTCAGACCCAGAAAGGGCTTGACTGTCCTCTGGGACGCATACAAAACTCACACTCACCTGAGCATACTTTATCTGGACCATTCTGGGTTACGGAGTTAGGCTCTCCTGTTGACAGATTACTTATGGGGATTTCATTCTAAATGAGCTGAAATTATTGCTCTCAGTCAAAAGGGCCTTTCAGAAGTCCCTTGCAGAGTTTGAGCCGCTTCTTTTATGTTTGGCTTTATTTTGTTGGCTTCCGCAGTGTAATGTGACACTAGAAGTGACAGGCTCTTTTTTTTGTCCCCCCTCAAAATCAACCAGCTGTAGTGGAGAACAATTATAATGGTGATGGAGTGTGCTTGACCACAGAAATTATGTTTTTGATGTTCTTTTTTGTCACTCTAGTCGAAATCAGTTCGACTGAGGCTTCTTCAGCTCAATTAAACATGGCGATCTTTTTTTCATTCATTCAACTTTTTTTTTTTTTTTTTTTTAAGAAAGTTTGCAGTTATCAAAAAAAGTCAGCGATCCATTTCGTGGCTTACCCCCCATTGTCAGAATGTTTCAGTCTGAGCTGACAGTAGTACATGAATAAATTATCGCATTTTGAGAACTAGCCACTCTGGGATAGAAGATGACCGTTTTTGGACTCATAAAATTTTGGTTCTGTGCGGACGACATGTTCAAACATGCCAAATACACTGAAACCCATTTTCGTACGGACAGACTGATTTTTAAGAAAACACTCCTGTGTGACTGATGGAATGTTGAGTTGAGGTTGATGAGCCTTGCTGAATCTGTCCAACATCCACTTCTGGATAGCAACAAAAGTTTGAAAGAAAAGTTTAAAAGTATGGATTGGACAGATCCTGAGACTGAACAAGGGTGGTCATAGGAGCAGCCTGTCTAAGGTGAAATTAGCAACATATCTGCTCGGCAGGTAAGTTTATCACCTCTGTTTGATTTTTGATTGACTGTGCATCCCGAAAAATACAACTTCAAAACGCTAACATTTTGTGTTATATTAACACTCTGTTCCAAATAAATACAGCTAACAATGTAGCAGCTGTGGTAAATGTCAGCTTGCGCATCTTGTGCATGTCAGTGAGTGGCGTGGCTTTGATCAAAGACTTGAGGCGGGGAGGGATTAGTAAAGTGAGGCCGCATTCAAATTTTCCTAGCAGTTATAAAACTGCAAACTCCCCCACTCAATCTTGAGGGCTCAGTGAGGGCATAGCCTTATTTTCAGTGATGTTACAAGCACATAAAAGTCACAAGAATCGTCTTTACTGTCATGAACACGAGCAAATCCAGGAATTGTGCCCTCCACTGAACCGACCACAGCAAGCAGGGTGCAGTTCAGGGTATTGGCGTCTTACTCAAGAACACTCCAGGTGAGGGCCGCCGGGGTCGTTGGGCGTGGATACTTCATTGCTGCCTGTCTGTCCATACTTGACGAAACTGACGTTTTTGCTCACATTCTTCTGCTGGTCCGTGACCACTCATGTTTTGTTCAAAGATACAAAATTATACAACTATTGAAGCTTACAAACATCTCTGAGCAAAGTAAACTTCATCAGTACAAGAGTCCTTTGTTTTTTTTTCCCCCTTTCTTTTGTGGTGACTTCAAGTAGCAAGCTTTTTGTGTGTGTGTGAGGCCCGCATGGCTCTGGCATGTCATCTTTTTTTTCCACACAAACCATACCCAGTGTTTTGTGCTTTGTAAGTGGAAGAGGCAGACTAACATCAATTAGGTAAGGAAAATAAATCGATCACTCCAATAATATGGGGGGAAACAGCGACCGCATAAAAGCCATGTTTCATTTTATTTAATCTGCCCTAATTCTATTGCAATTGGATGGACAGGTATGTGTCCATCCAGTGTAACATTACATTTAAAATTTGGTGATGTACACCTTGAAAAGCACAGAAATGCAAAGTTAAAAGGAGTTTTGTCATGGCAAAGCAGGTGAAGTCCTTGTGATTTGCTCCAAGTAAGCACTTTCCACAGAAAATGTATTCCCCGCTACCGCTCATTTTGCCTGCGCCTGTATGGTTATAGCGGTGGAGGTTGAATCTGCCTTTCAGACGCACTAGTCCTTCCTTAAATCTTGACGCAAAGTCAGACATCAATTCTCGGCAGCAGTGCTTGATTGCTGAAACGTAATCTTTTTCATTTTCCTTCCAGAGCGTGCCATAGCGTTGACGAGCAGGTAATATTTCCATAAATCTATTGAGAAACGTGGCAAATGGAAATAGTTGATCTTGACAAGATTGTCAGCTGGAAATCTCGCCCCGTCTATGGCACAGACGCTATTGTTCATGACAAACTTTTTGGCAGAAATGAAACGGAATGTGTGTGCTAATGCTTATCTGTGCTAACACAACAGCTCTGCTTAATGTTGAACTTTGGTAGCTGCTACAAAGTGCTTCTTTTGCTCTTGTAACTTCTGGTGACCAAACAATTTAGACACAATCAATAAAAAGTCACATTCCATAATATGTCCTCTCTTAAACTGTACTTGTTTGTTTGGTTGGTTGTTGTTTTTTTTGCCTATTTTTCAACTCTAATTGTATATGAAGACCCAGCCAGTGCCACCATTTACCAGTGTTACGTATTAAGATCCACGGTCAAAAATAGACCAACCAGCTAGTAAACAAAGTCTCAGGCTATCTTGGGTTTGTCTCAGTTTGAGAAGGAGAAACTGAGAACGATGACATCTCACAGTTAGCACAACTTAGCACTGACCTCCAACATTCTTTCTCAAAGGATAAATCAAACGTTGCTGTCTACACTCAGACATTACATTTTTTGGAAAGCCGTCATGTGACCTTGATCTCTGAGAACGACATGAGAGAACAACATTATTCAGTATTTGAAGACAGTCAAGTGAGACACAAATAATCTCTGCTTTGTGAGTGCTCTTTGTGCGTTTGCAGTGTGCAGGAAACGCACACAAACACAAGGTTATCATCAATATTCCCTGCTGGCCTTTTAGCCATCTGCAAACATTGTTAATATACTTGATGCGATGGCTGTCAGCCTCTCCCAAAAGGCCTGTTAGCAGTTTTCATGCACCCTCAGCCATCCGGACTACTTCACCTGAACGCTAGCCAAATGCAAACAACCCAGTTAATTTTTTTTCATCCCCCGCCCCCATGTTATCTGTTAGTCTTTTTCCAACTTGGGAAGGCTCTGCTCTGTTGCTCACATATGAAGGAAGTGTTGGGGAAATCTTGAGGAGCGTTTGTTGAGCATGAGCTCTCACGGTGGAAAAGGGGGGATATGGTGGTCTAGCTGTTTGGCTTGCCCTTTGTTCTTCGTAATGACCTGAGCGTGTAAAGTTCGCCGCAGCATTCAGGGGACATTATGGGTCATTTTACCTGACGGCGGCTGTTTCCCTCCTGTTCATCAGCCTGGGAGGAAAGGAGATGTAGAAGTTGCACTCACCTTGGTAAACTCAACGCCTTTTAGAGATCTTGTGTCGCATGTTGTCTCCAAAACTGCTATAAAGTAAGAGCTTGTTTTGTTTGAATGGTAGCAATGTTCGTAATCTTGGTGAATCTGGTGATGTGTATTAGGCATGGTATGGACATTTGAAAAAAAATGGTCAAAACAATCAATTGATCATGAAGTCATAGGTTCTCATATGAATTGCTTTTTAGTCAGGTTCTTCAAGACGAAAACTATTTGAGATTATAGAAACTGTACCACTGCTGTTTATATTCAAGTACCGGTAGTGCACTGCACATTTTGAATACATTTCTCAAAGCTCAAACTCTACAACTGGAAACAACTGCATTCATTGAAACCAAACTCACTTCTGGTTAGTACTCCATAACTTTTTAGTTTAAAATAGCAATGCGTTTTTTTTTTTTTTTCTGCTTCACATCAAGCAGTGCCTGATGTGGTCAATGTATCATTATCAATAATTTCTAATCAAGTTACACTACCTTAAACGCTTATCAAATGCAGGGATGTGCTGAGAATTGCTAAACCCATAAAAAGAAAGACCCTCTTTTTCTTTTGTTCTATTCATCTCAGACTTATTTTGTTGATCGTAAAATTTGTGTAGTTTGGAGTTTGTTAGTCCTTCAGATGAAGACCATGCCAAAAAACATTTTTCTATACGGACAGAGATTAGAATTTTTTTTTTCCCACCAGTAATAAATTTGAACTTTGAACATGTTCCTTGAACCTACTACCTACCTAATCTCTGTCCCATTGTTTGTAAAGCTTCGTCTGAGTTGCCTCATTTAAATACCGAATGATCTTCACTTGCTTGTTTGCTTTTCAGAAGTTGTTTAGACCTTGTCTATTGAAGCACTCGGCACAGGCTCAGGCCCTTATTCAAATTCAGCATCCAGCATGTGGTCAAGTGCTTTACCTGCCCCGGTTGCTAAGGAATTGGCACTTAACTAATGAAATGCCTATGGCTGACCGGGAGCACTTGATTGTGCTGAGACTGAGAGAGCGGGGCCAAGTGAGAGGGGAATGGGAACTGGAGCAAAGTAGCCAGAGCTGGGAATCGGCCAACGTGAACACTAAGCACATAGCATAGAAATGCAGCAAAAGAGAGGCGGGGGTTCGGGGGCTGCAGGAACTGGCACATATCCATCACCTGAGCATGGGCCTTTTGGGAAAATGTTTAATCACAAATGCATAGCAAAAAAAAAAAAAAAAATCAATTATGTCATCTTCTGGATTTGTGTCAGTGAGATACAATTTTAGGAACAAATTACACATTTAAACCGCATAATGTTTCCTGAGTATGAAGAGCAGTAAATACTCATTACCTTCAGAGGCACATAACCATTTCAACTCCATGACCTTAACGGCTGTCACTACCTTTGACCTTTGCACTTACTTTATGAGCCCTGTCCTCAGATTCTATCTCACCATGTCCCAACTTCAGAGTGTTGCATCCTCTTGCAGCACCAGCCGGGATTTTTAAATGTGCTCTGCGGTCTCACAATAAGTAACAGCAGGTGAGCATTGAAACCTGAGGATACAATTTAGTTGTGTGTGTACGTGTGTGTGCACCTCTGTTGACTTTTCAACATTTCTCAAATTCCTTCCTGCATTGATGGCTTTTGTTCTTTTGTCGTCACGTGCTAGTGCACCGCCGGTCTTGTTCTGGTGTAACTTTCAACTCTGCATTGTCTTCATCACTCGGATAGAATAAATGCAATGTGTGGCAGTCACGGAGGAATAGATTTGTCGGAAATGGAAATGGAGCACAAACCGAACAATGTGACCTTCGGGATCGCTGACATCTTTCTCGCTGGTTTCCAATAGGTCTGCAATTAACAATTATTGTAAGAATCAATTATTCTTTTCAATTATTTGGTCAATTAATGAATCGGATTAAAAAAAAAACTGTTTGTGATTTCCATCCCATTATTAAAAAAGGGTTACACGACTGGTTTGGTCCAGAAAATAAGCAAAAACGTATGGTGCATCATTGTTTTCCAAAGTAAAAGTAATGTTTTAGTTTCGCTCTACACAAAGATAATCAGTCCGTTCAATATCCATCCATCCATCTGAAACACTTATTCTTCCTGAGGGTTGCGGGTATGTTGCAGCCTATCCCAGCCGCCTTCAGGCAGTAGGCGGGGGACACCCTGAACTGGTTGCCAGCCAATCGCAGGGCACATAGAGAGGAACAACCATCCACGCTCACACTCACACTCACACTCACACTCACACCCAGGGACAATTTAGACTGTTCCATTACCCTGCCACGCATGTTTTGGGAATGTCGGAGGAAACCGGAGTACCCAGAGAAAACTGCTAGTCCCCATTCAGCAAAATTTTCTTTACTTAAATGTTTGCTCCGAAGGATGTCTACACTTTGATGTCAAACACTAACTGACAAACCCTTTGAAGCCACACACCCTCGTAATCGATCTCACCTTAGGTCAAAATGCCAACGCAGGGTTTTTTTTTTTTGTGCGTTTTTTTTTTTTTGCAACAAGAGGAAGTCAGAGCAAGGATGATGAGGAAAGTGTAAGAGAAGTCGAGGAAATCAGTCCAGCTCCTGTCTGAAGAGGCTGAGAGGGTTAATTATGCAGGCCCATAGAGAAAAATGGAAGTCAGCTTTTTGGCCACAGTTGGTGGTGCAGCAGCAGCGGCAAGATAAGAGCAATGTCTGGAAGTATCAAATCGAGTCACAAATTTCACCAGGATTTACTGAGCGTCTATTTTATTACAATCTTACATTATTTTTTGGTAGTATGTAGAGGCGGTAGCTCTCCCCAACTTTCCCCAAAGTTGCTGCAGGGTCTTGTCCTTTTAAGAACAAAGCAAGGAGATGGGAACTGACTTGCAACTAAATTCCTGTTCATCCCATTGTGAAGGTGTTGAATGTGCTTGAGGTCAGGGCAGTGTGAAGCTGGGGTAGGCATGTTCTGTGCACACCGAAGTCCTGACCTTGCTTTGTTCATAAATGCTACATTGAAACTAAAATTGCCTTACCATTACTCAAAGAACAAAGCAGTTCAAAATCGAAACTCACAAAAGCATGTCATGCAATTTGGCCCGAGGGTGTCATTCAATGTGTGGATGAGAGAGAGTTAGTTTTTATTTCTAGCTTTTGTTTCAAGTGAGAACAACAGCTCGAGGGCAGGAGGATATTTTATTGCTGTGGGTTGCAACAAAACCACATTTAGTGGATGCTAATAAACTTTTGAAATCCGCTGCTGTGCTTTCGTGTATATTTCTGCAATACTGAAAATGAAAAAAAAATTGCGGTCAAAATATCTGACTGTCTGCAATATGCATTGCCACACGAGTAGATGATGATGTCACTTCGTAATGAACTCATATATGATTTTTTTTTTTTGGGGGGGGCGGGGTGGGGTCAGTGGATTAATTTTGGTCTTAATTTCATTTTTTTAACTACTTTTTTTTCCCAACTTCCCTGGTTCAAAGCGTATACCCCGACTTCCGACATGGTCAGTAGAGAGACCGGCAGGCGAGGTCATGAAAATGAGATGCTGATAATCATGAATGACTCACTTAAAAATGAATAAATAAATAAATTAAAATAAATAATGAATTCAAAACTTCAATACAGGTACATTTAATATCAGGAAGATTTGATCCTTAAGTGCCTTAAGTCTTTTACTCAAGTAGTTCCTACTTTATACACAACTGCAAATCCCACAAATGGACCAAAAAAAAAAAAAAACATCCTGAAACAAAAACTGTTTGAAATAATGTCATTTAATTTTTATCTTTATTGAAGGGAGAAAATTGCTTCAAATTAAAAAGTTGATCCCACATTGAACATCCATGTGAACTTCCTCAGATTTCATAACGATTTTTAAATTTGGACAACTTGGATCTCTTCTCCTTCACGCCCACTATCATATCTGTCCTTTCTGATCAAACAAACAATTTATAATTTAAAATGTTACCCGGCCTTATTTCAATTGCGTTCGGATTTGTCAACATTTATTTGGGGTTTCAATGTTAATATACTCCGTGACGTGTGTGATTGAAGGTTGAACGCGCAGACTTCTAATGACTAACTGGTCGCTTGCTTGCATGGATGTGCCATTTGACAAATACTGTACGTGACGCATCACGGAGGAGGACAGCGGAGCGAGGGCGAGCGAGAGAGCGAGGTTAACAACCTGTTCATTAAAACGGCTCGCTAATGATTTACATGAGTGTGACAAATGCACTCAGCAGAGTTCTGAGGAAAGGTTAGGAGATGAGGGTGAATCAACAACATTGTTTTTCCACTGCTTTCCCTCAGTGACACTCGCATAAGGTTTGCCACTCTTTTTTTTTTTTTTTTTTAAGAGACATTGGTTCTGTGACAATGTTGTCATGACCGTCCAGAAACAGCCAACATGAAAACGTACTGATAACAGTCTGCTGAGTGTAACTACATTTGTAAACTTGCAAGGAAGTAGTAGAGTTTGTTTGGAACTGTACCGTACCGCGCAGAATAGGACCAATTTATTTTGGCCCTCAGTTTCAGTAATCTGTTCGCTCTTAGACAAACGAATAGCACCAAGGGGGTGAACAAATTACAGTTCAATGGACCAATAGTCTGAGCATGAAAACACCCCTCACACAAAATAACTGGTAACTTTAGTTAATGTACACAGGCAAATATATAACAACTAAGTATAGGGGTTTTTAAATATCTTCCAATTGTCGTTCACTTCACATGAGAAAGCACCTCCCTATTTTTGGAACTTCTTGAAGCTAAATAAACCTGAATTCATTCTGTCCACAAAACATGCAGAGAAGAAGTGGATCAGCTCAGTAACTTGACGAACATCCTAAGGTTGTCAGGCCCCATGAGACCTTTTACATCTGCTAAAAATTTCTCAACATCCTGAATTGGATATTGGGATTAATCATGACTAACAATGCATCCTAGAGCATGTTGATGGCGCAACTGGATTACTCCCCCCCCACCCGGATAGTTTGTCGTCATCTGACTTTCTCCGCAGGCTTTTTTTCATGCTTCATAAATCAATCCCAACACTCACAGAGCAAAAAAAAAATGCGCAACAGCACATCTCAGGTTTGACCAGCAAGGATTAAAGCCCAAAGCCAAAGCATCCTCCGCCACGCTTGCTTGGATTGAAGCCCAGACAGTCAAGTGGACAGCTGTCTAGCCGGCCTTGCAGCTGCAAACACAAACTGTTCAGTGGTATGACATACAGAGCCAGCGAGACAAAAAACCTCAAAAGCCTCAATGTTTCGTCGGTTCAGTCTTCTTTGCTGTCGCTTTATGTCAATCATAATATCTTTTTTCTTTTTCTTTTTAAGTGCTATAGGTGGGATGGAGAGATTATGGCAGGATTATGGTTCGGTACTTGGGATATGTGCAATATATTGACACAGCAAAGTGAAATTTGCATTTTATTTTAGGGATAATATCTCCTTGCTGATTTACTTTCATTCCAACATTTTATTTCGCATAAACTCCAGTGGAGTACCCTTCAACAAATGTCAGTCAGCTATTAGCGATCATAAAACGTGAATGTTGTCTGTGAGCGTTTTCTCTCAGGGCTGGTTTTAAAATATGAACAACTCGTTTTCAGTCCTTTTGTTTCTTTCACTGCCGTGATCCCTCACTGTGACTCGACGCTTTTCGCAAATGAAATTTATCCACCCACATGCTTCAGTGGCCTCGGGTCTCGGATGGTGAGTGCCACTGAAGTTCCCCACATTTGCAAGGATGTACAATTACTGAGTGTGTCGACTTGACACACCTTCAGTGAATTTCCACGGTGTAGCGCTCCTCATCAAATTGACTGTCCATCCCCTGCAGACATCCCTGATATTGAACATCCCTGCTAAACCGGGCTAACCTCCAACCTCAAAGGGCCCACGACTAGACAACAAAAGTGACCTCGAGTATCTCCTGTTAACACTGTAAAAAAACAACTCATATGTTTTTGGGGCTAAAACAGTCATTTCGGTGGGCATTTTATCAGAACTGACGAAAGGTTCGTAAGTCCGTCACTGACGGATGCCGATTATGCCATTATGCTGACGACTGATAGAAACATGTCTTCCTCTCTTGCATATGTTTGTTTATTAAGTTATTTAGAGAGGACTCCATTAACAAAATATGTGCGTGAGCGTCAGTGAGAGTGAATGTTCTTGTTTTCCGTAATCGTTTTCTGTTTAGGTTAAAATAGTGTGTGTGTGTGTGTGTGTGTGTGTGTGTGTGTGTGTGTGTGTGTGTGTGTATGTATGTATGTATGTATGTATGTATGTATGTATGTATG